GAATGCACAGGTAAGGACAGGACGAAATGCTGCCACAAGTGTTGCATCTAAAAAACAGACGGATAACGTACGAGACGATCGAAGATCGACGGGACCGAGATCGGGAAAACGACGACTGTTAATGGCGACACCTCACTCGATCCTTCTATACGGCGCGGAAATATGGGTAGACTCCCTGAAGACAAAGAAATACTGTAAGTCGATGATGATGGTACAGAGACAGGGCGATACTGCGAATCGCTTGCTCCTACCGAACAGTCTCTGTGCAGGCTGTTTTGGCGGTGGCTGGCATAATACTCGTGGATCTTCTGGCCTTTGAACGCAAAAGGATCTATGGAAGTAGCGGGGACATAGGACGAAAGAACGCGACAATCGCTGAGCGCGATAGAACAATTGACATTTGGTAAGGCCGATGGACAGAGGAACGAGATGGTAACTGGACGAGACGATTGATACAGAACTTGAGGCTCGGAAGGAAATTTGGTGATGTAAATTTCTATGTCACCCAGCTCTTGACGGGCCACGGGTACTTCCGACAGTACCTTTACAATATGAATAGACTAAGAACACCCGACTGTAAGTACTATGGACACGAATGAGACGACGCGGAACGCACGTACGAGGTGTGATCAAAAAGTAAGGTGAATTTTGAAATTTAGCGGGCTACGTCCGTTCGATCTTCGACTTTTTTATTTGGTTATGTCGGTACACTCGTCTAGAACATACGTTCCAAATTTCAGCTTTGTAGTATGTTTGGTTTGTTTGTGAGAGGCATCAAGGTTAGAAGTGTTTTGCGTGCTCCACGATTTGCTGCTGTCTAAAAACATGGATCAAAGAGTTTGCATTAAATTTTGTGTGAAAAATGGAATCAAATGTTCCAAAACACTTGAAATGCTGAAAGTGGCATACGGTGAGTCTACTTTAAGCCAAAAAAATGTTTACAAGTGGTATAAACTCTTCCAAGAAGGCCGAGAAGATACCGACGACGAACCTCGTTCTGGACGCCCCAGCACATCAACAACTGATGAGAATGTTGAAGAAGTGAAGAAAATAGTGTTGGGAAATCGTCGAATTACCATTAGAGAAATTGCTGATGATATTGGCATCTCATTTGGTTCGTGCCAATCAATTTTGACGAGTGTTTTAGACATGAGACGTGTGTCAGCGAAGTTTGTTCCGAAATTGCTCAATTTCGACCAAAAGAAACGTCGCATGAGCATCGCCCAAGAGCTACTGAATGACGTCAACGATGATCCAGATTTACTCAACAGGTTTATAACAGATGACGGAACATGGGTATACGGTTATGACATCGAGACTAAGACTCAATCGTCCCAGTGGAGGCATTCTGGATCACCAAGACCAAAAAAGCACGCCAAGTTCGATCAAATGTAAAGGTTTTGCTTACAGTTTTCTTTGACTGCAGGGGCGTGGTGCATCATGAGTTCTTGCCACAGAGTAGAACAGTAAATAAGGAATATTACCTGCAAGTTATGCGCAATTTGCGCGAAGCAATCCGCCAGAAACGTCCGAATTTGTGAAAAATAAAAATTGGCTTTTGCACCATGATAACGCCCCTGCTCACACATCGTTGCTTGTGCGCGAATTTTTGGCTAAAACCAACACAATAACGATGCCACAGGCACCGTATTCCCCAGATCTGGCCCCCTGTGACTTCTTCTTGTTCCCAAAACTGAAGAGGCCCATGAAAGGACGGCGTTTTGCCACGATTGAGGAGATAAAGACGGCATCGAAGGATAAACTAAACAAGATCACAAAAAATGATTTTTTGAAATGCTTTGAGGATTGGAAAAAGCGTTGGCATAAGTGCATTATATCCGAGGGGGATTACTTTGAAGGAGATAAAATAAAAATTGATGAATAAATAAATATTTTTTGAGAAAAATAAAAATTCACCTTACTTTTTGATCACACCTCGTATTATCATACGTCTTATTGTAATATCTACGTCTACACGTGATATCAATGATTAATTAGACATGTCCAAAGAATACTAGATTATCCTCGTAATGAAATAGTTAATATTCTGTTGGTGCTTGGTAAATGTCATCGTAAATATCGCGCAACAGCGAGGTTGTATCGAGAATGGTTGTCGAATAGATAAAAAGCATCGACGTGGACTACGGCGAAAACGACGCCGTATTAATGTATCTGAAAGAGATGTATTAGTCTCAACTGTGTGAGCATTGATACACTTAAACCCGTATTAAACATTCCACGTAGCACAGTCTGAAGAATTTTGGCTATTCATCGATTCCATCCTTATTACATAACCTTAACTTAAAGCTTGATGGTTCGAAATATCTAAAGAAGACTTAACTTTTGCAATTGTGCCCAGGAAATATTAAATAGTAATCAACATTTTTTTCAATTACGTCATATTTTCTGATAAAGTAACGTTCCATAGTGACGGTCAATTTCATCGACACAACAGTTATTATTAGTCAGACATCGTAAAATTGATTCACAACATCGCTGAAGTCTTATAGTTTAGTGTGGAATTCTTAAATAATAGCTATCTAATTAGGTCTTACTATTTTGACGGAAATGTAAATTCGCAAAGATGTTTACATTTTTAAAGATAGAATATGTTATTTTTTAGAAGATATTGAATGTGGTACCAGTAAGATGGTGCACCACCCCACAGAAGTTTAAGAGTAAGAAGATTATTAAACCACAGATTTCTCCATAAATGGATAGAAATTGTAACAGACATATGGCCACAGGACAACAAAATTTTACAAAAAGCCAAGAATGATTTGTTTCTGCTCCAAAAGAAATTTGAAAACGAGAAAAAGATCGTGCTTTGCTTATTGTAACGATAGTCACTAGATAGTACACGTGCCGAATCATTTTAAACAAAAATTTTCTAATCCAATTTTGAGAACCAACCCGTTATCAAAAATTAATAATCAAACAATCATCTCAGGTTACACACGTATGTTTCATTAGTAGATATCCAACCTCATCAGATCTCAATTCAATGGAAAAAAAAAAACATCGGATCATTTTAAGTTTACGCGTTGCGTGGTTTGCTCTTGCTCGAGTAGTGATACCAAGAAATGATTGTGAATTTAGATGAAAATAAGATTAGTCATGCAAAATAATAGTCTGATCGTGAGTAGAATCTGCAGTGACTTTTGTGTCTAGTCTTGAGTGCTGGTGTTCGCCGTGCGCCATGATATATATTATAACGAGCCGCATTCTCGTTATGTCTCTCTCTCCCTGCAGCCAGTTTATTTATTAATCATATTTATACCATACCATGTATTATAATAATTTGTAATTTGTAGCGCAGTTGAAATGTCAGCGAACAAGGTAAGAGTCGAGCCCTACGATCTATACTATCGATAGTCCTTAGCGCGGATGTCGCGAAGAGACCGCGATCGCGAAGGGGAGAGAGAAGGAGAGCGCGTAATGAGTCAGTTGGCATACGAGTAGAGACAAGTGCGGACGCTAGCATAGTTTGACAGCAACATCTTTTCTTTTGCGTTACGAGGGACTACGAAGGAGTAAGCGAACACGCAGTGGCGATTGTACGAGTCCGAAGATCGCCAGCGATAAGCGAAGACACGTAGTTGACGCTGACAGGAATTCCGTCAACTATAAGGCGAGAACGCCCGCGTGAGTGTAGGTCAGGAGTGCGTGCGTTTCTGCCGTTCTGATAACCGACGACAACTACTGTAAGTACCTACTCGATTCTTCTCTCTCTCTCTTTGGCTCTCTCTCTCTCCTATTGCTTGCTAACCGCATTTGTTGCCCTGGCCTTTCGCCCGACCTACGCACCCTGTTATTTTGCTCGGCATTGCGTCTTGCCTCGAGCCGCTTTAAGCGAATCCGTTGTCCGATCATCCTCGGTCGCTGACAAGATCGGCGCGTTGCGTTTTGTCGTCGCCTTGTTCGCTGCCGCTCGCATTTCGTCAACACGCGCGCTTCCATGTACTCGCGAGTGCCTAAATACACGATTCATTTCTACTAAAATCCGCAGTGTCTTATTTCGATACACCTGCCTTATTGCATAACTACTTCGCAGCGAGACTCTTTAGGTTGTCTCTCGCCAAGTGACCTGTAGCTCACGACACTCTCCGCGGGCCGAATTTCTACGTAAGGAAGGAGGCAAGCTGATGCAGCTGGACCCAAGCACTGTTCGTGCTGGCGTACAGGGTCGCCTTGGATAGCGCACTTCGCTTTATTAAAATATTAATCCGCGAGAATTATTTATTTATATAGCTGATTTAGCCCGAAAAGAGCTCGAGCTAAAACCCTGTTATAATATATAGCCTTAATTTATATGTTTCTCATACATAGTATCAATTTGGAGGTAAGCGAATTTCTCTCACGGTCTAATCAAACGCTTACTCGAAGCTTTGGCAAGTGCTACGATTCAACATAAATCGTACTGATAATATGTCACCCGAAACCGAGTGTCGAATGGTCGTCTCGGTGATAGAAGTATAGCCTTACTACAATGTAAGAATACTGGTAAAATAACATGCTGATGCTAGTTGTACTATTCGGGAATCCATGACAGTGCAGAATGATAGTATTGATACTTATCAGATAGACATAGATAATATATGCTGCGTATATAAAAATTAGGATTCTATTTACATTGATTTTGACATCTACGTATATATGCATATAGAACTAAAAAAAATCACTATCGAACGGTATATGTCAGTTTGAAACAATTCAATGTAGATTGAATTATACATTGTATATTGAATTATTTTTTTTTTATTTAACGTCGCTCTATTTATACTCCATCAGTGTTAATCAGCGACGGAGGCTTGCAATGTGTTTGAGAACGAAGCACATGAAACTTTTTTCAGTGGTGCGTGTATCAATCAGCAGGGACTGGGAATCGAACCCGGGCCTACCGTGTGCGAGTCCGTCGCCCTACCGACCGAGCCATTGCAAGCCTGAGATATATTAAATTATATTCAATATATTATTATATATAATTAAACAAGGCTTACCTGTAAAACAAAAAGTTGCAAAGTTTAGTCCTTTTTTTATTGAGCGCTTCTCTGGTTCGAATGATTTGGAGTCCACATTCCCTGATCTCTTTGTTTATTTTAAGATCCAAGTTTTCGAAAATATTTTTATTCTTCAACAAAATCATCTCATTTCTCATTTCACGTAATCTAAGGGCTTCGCTCCAGCATTGTTTAATAACAAATAAATTCTCACGTTTGCAGAGATCTAGAATTCGACGTTTTAGTTCATTGTGCTTGAGATATCGATACATCTGGACTGACATGTCACTTCTTTCAGTATAGTTAGTTTGTTTGTTGTAATCACTTAGTCTTTCATACTGATCCATGTTATTATTTCTTAATGCGCCAACACTTAATGATTTCATTGGCACGTATTGTTCAACAAGTACAGGTGATTCAGAACTTTTATGATTTGGTATGATTGGAGCATCTACATTATTTGATGACGACGAACATTTATTACTATTTTTGCTCAGCAATTCCGTATTTTGAAATGAATTTTCATTATTAAAAAGTTGTATCATTCCTTCGTTGTTGTCTTCATAATTCTTCTTTAATGTAGTTCCGTTGATATTATTTTCTCGACTATCTTGACGGTTAGTCACGAAAAAAGTAGGACTGTCAGTTAATTCTAAATTTTGAAATCTAGAACTGCAATCATCTATTTTATTGATGAAACAAATGTTTGTACCTTCCAGACTTCGGCGAGAGTAACGAGCACTATATCGCGGATTTAGGTAGTTTTTTTCTGACCATGCTTTGGAAGAGGTCGATCTGGCAAAAGGCCATTTTTCATACTCTGCGTTGCTGTACATAATTTTTTCTATAGAAGGATTCGATGAAAATCGAATATGCTTTTGACTGAAATTTGAACAAATAATAGCTGAATAACAATGTAAGTTACAAATTCTATTCATATATTTAACAAAAGTAGATTGATAAATTATCCTCAAAATACTAGTTATGAACTACTTGGTTTCCTTCTTTATTAATAAAATAATAAGCTAAGGTAAAAAAAATAATGATTTCAAACTTTCCCGAAATAAAACCCTATAGAAATAGATTAATTATGATAAAACCGTCTTTTTGGATACAATATAAAAAAAAATGTTCAGCAAAGTCAACGTTTGTCATAATTTCAAATAATTGTGTGGAATAATGAAATCAAATTGATACTGATATATTATACAAATTAATCACGTTCTTAATAATCGGGATCAGTTCTCCGTTAATTAAAGTCATAACAAATATTCCTAAAAGTAACATGATACTTTCAAACAAAAGTTTCTGTTGCACAGGTACTACTTTTGTGATATACTCGAACTTCCATGATTCGAACACCTACGTCATAATTTGAAGGAAGGATCGTGGATTCGAACTGATAGGTGAGTAAGACTTGCCCCGCGAGTACAATCCTACTTATCTTTCTTAAAAAAACAAAGTTTGCATAAGTGAGGTTTCTATTGATTATAATGTGTCAGTTGAAGATAAAGATTTTGACATTAGATTAGCTTGCTGATAGGAAATAAGAATTGAACGCGAAAATTTCAAATAGTATTCTTTTCGATTTTATTGAATAATTTAATAATGAATCATTTTATTTATCCATCAATGAATTTAAATTATCAATTTTACAAAAAATTTAATATATTTAAAAAATACGTTTAGGTCAAAATTTTACTATCAAAAACAATGAAATAATGAAATACGTGTCTCCGGGTTTTATGTAAAAAAAAAAAAAATAGAATCACCATTTCGTAGATTTAAAGAAAAAAAAAGTTTTATTTGTTTATTTACTGTATAATAAGTCATAATAATTACATATAATTCTAAATTCATAAATTAAACTTTGTTTAAACAAACTGTAATTGTACTGTAATTTAATGTATAATGTAACGAGCGCATTTTAATAACCGTTTTGAAATACAAATGAGGCAAACAGCGAGATAGAAGAGAAAAAGAGAGAGAGAGCCACGAATATACAAGCGAGAAAGCTTGTCAACGAATAAAATAGGTGTAAGGGAGCGACCCGACATGAACCGGAAATAGAAGTTGACAACAGACAATGTGCGCACGTGTTTCATTAAATTCTTTTCTCATAATTTTTCTTTCATGTGCAATTCCATTTCCCTTTTTCCTTTATTCATCAATACGACATCGGTATCGTGAGATGCTCTGGAGAATGCAAGTGTTCTGCATCCGAAAAGTGAAAATAAACAATCAATAATCAATCAATAACAATAAGTAGCTCCTGATAACTACCTCCATGGTGGCCAGCAAATGTCTTCACCACGACTACTGATGAACACAGAGGTTGATCTCACAATTTCCTACTTGGCTCAAACATATTGTCTTTACCCGATTATTGGCATCAACGTAGATGTTTGCAATAGTACCTTGGAATGGCAATATAAGTCTTTCTTTGTTCTCACGGTCGCGATTAGGACCTAATCCCTCACTGGAGAAATGAGGTGCGCGCTAAAGCTTATTTTTGGGTCTCTCTCTCTCTCTCTCTCTCTCTCTCTCTCTCTCTCTCTCACTATTATAATCTTACGTTCAAGCAGAAAACTCGTGACATACCGTGTAATTATGTATTATAGAAAAATTCTCGTATACGTCTACTGCCTATGTGATATTTCCTTGAATAACTTTTTGACTCTTGCATTTCACAACCTCTACACTTAAACTATCCCCGTCCTAATTCAAATTCGCCGACTCTACTGATTGCTTTCTCCGTGATTTGACGCACATTTGTAAATGAGCGCGCAATATTTGACAGCTACTCAGAAAATTCATCTCCCCGTGGCAGATTGGTAAGGAGGCGAGTCTTGAACCGAAGAGTTAGATAGCGTACAAAATTTTCAAAATTTTCGACGGTTGGCGTCGTACAAAAAAATTGTTCAGACAACAGTTGTTTGGGACAATGGGGGCAACCTTTCTGTAAAATCCGATTTGACCTTGAGATTTATTTTCAAGGTCATTTGAAGGTCAAAGTCATTTTTTGAATAAGAACCCATATTTTTGATCCCGGATTCGGAAAGAGCGGAAAATTCTACGTTCAGATAACGTATTATGTATGGGGTGCGGTTAACCCCCCCCCTCCAGCCTAAGGTCATGTAGGGGTCAAATTTATGATTTTCTTCATCTATGCACAGGGATGATCGGACAAGAGTAAGGTTAATTGTAATAACCTAATAACTCGATAACCCAAATAACCCAATAATCCGATAACCCGAATAATTCTATAACACCAATATCCCAAAAAAATTGTAGGGTCAAACAACAGTGACCTTGAGCTTAAACTTCAGGTTGATTTCAAAGTCGACTTCATGTATTCAAAGCTTTCATGAGAAGTGTCATTTTCCATTTTGTGGGATAACATGTTATTTCCATTCTTTTTTCTGGTGTGATTCCGGACAAGCCTACAAAGTTTCAACTAAATTGTATAATAACACTTTTTTAGTATTGTTTATGACAATAGTGATTCACAAACAGTCCTTCTCAGGATAGTTCAAGTGTAAGGGTGAGGTATTGATTACCCAGCCAGTGAAGGCAAGGTATTGATTACCCAGCCAATGAAGGCAAGGTGAGAATGCTCAGCCGATCAAGACAAGAAGTTGACTACAGATAGAGTTATGGTCAAGATTGTAACACAAACATTTATCTCATAAGATGTTCAAAAATACCCCCGTTCAAATTTATGCAGTGGTGAATTCTACGTTCAAAATTTTCAACTGTGGACATCAAAACGTGACGCGGAATAGCTCTGCAAGCTTATATGATGCGTTGCATCATATCTTGCTGTGTTGTTGGTTGCTGTGCATAAACAACATTTTTCAAATAGCCTCATAAAAAGAAATCTGGACTTGTCAGATCTGGTGATCTTGGACACCACTCAGTAATGTCACTACCAATGCCTATCCATCGTCTTCGGTATCGTTGGTTCAAAAAGTGACGAACCATTAGTGAGCGATGACACGGTGCACCATCCTGTTGAAGCCATAATCGTCTTCTGGTTTCCAAGTCCACATCTTCCAATAATTCTGGTAATTCATTCTGCAGGAAATCAAGATATGCTGCGCCGTTGACATTCCCATCGAAAAAATAAGGTCCTATCAGATAACCATTTATTATACCGCACCAAACTACAAGGCTCCATCTATACTGATTATCAACATGACGTACCCAATGAGGGTTCTGGATAGACCAATAATGACTATTATGGCGATTGAGTTGCCCATTACCATGAAATGTAGCTTCGTCCGAAAACATGACGTATCTGAAAAATTCAGGATCTTCACGAATCCTTGCTTGTGCCCAATTGCAGAATTTGAGTCTGCGGAGGAGATCATCTGGCATCAAAGCTTGAGTCAAAGTTATGTGATACGGATGAAATCTGTACAGACGTAAAAATCTAGCGACTGTTGATCTTGGGATTCCAGTACGTCTCTGAATTTTACGCAACGAGATATGATGATCCAAATCAACCATTGCTAAAACGACGAGAATTCGTGGATCATCGTTGTTCGGCATCATAATGCTACGACGATTTCTGCGTATTCGGGGTCGACGTCTCTCTCTTTGCTCGATGATTCGGATTCTCACGTGGTTCGGGTAGTGAAGCCTCCTTGGGTAATTTTGGCGGTAATACCTTGCCGCAGCACGATATCGGCCTTGACATGCTCCGAGAGACAACAGAATATCAACAATTTCGTTTTGCGAATAATCCGGCATATTCCCTCCTTATAAGTCAACTAAGAAAATTACACTTGAACTATCCTGAGAAGGACTGTTCGTGAATCACTATTGTCATAAACAATACTAAAAAAGTGTTATTAAACAATTTAGTTGAAACTTTGTAGGCTTATCCGGAATCACACCAGAAAAAAGAATAGAAATGACATGTTATCCCACAAAATGAAAAATGACACTTCTTATGAAAGCTTTGAATACATGAAGTCAACTTTGAAATCAACCTGAAGTTTAAGCTCAAGGTCACTGTTGTTTGACCCTACAATTTTTTTGGGATATTGGTGTTATAGAATTATTCGGGTTATCGGATTATTAGGTTATTTGGGTTATCGAGTTATTAGGTTATTACAATTAACCTTACTCTTGCCCGATCATCCCTGTGCATAGATGAAGAAAATCATAAATTTGACCCATACATGACCTTAGGCGGGGGGGGGGGAGGTTAACCGCACCCCACATATAATACGTTATCTGAACGTAGAATTTTCCGCTCTTTCCGAATCCGGGATCAAAAATATGGGTTCTTATTCAAAAAATGACTTTGACCTTCAAATGACCTTGAAAATAAATCTCAAGGTCAAATCGGATTTTACAGAAAGGTTGCCCCCATTGTCCCAAACAACTGTTGTCTGAACAATTTTTTTGTACAACGCCAACCGTCGAAAATTTCGGGGTGGTTCCTTTAAAATAGGACACCCTGTATAACAAAACTAGTCTTTTTTTCTCTTTGCATGGTATTCTAGACATTGTGACTGATTGATCTACATGAATCTTTTATATATATATATATATTGTAACGGGGTGGTTATCTAGCAAAATAGAATTCTTCCTTCCCCCACGCCATCGGCTTTTACGCTGTTCTGGAGGGCTGGTCTTGCCTTTCTTTGGCCAATTTACGCAGTATTCGCTAAATACCCTCCAGACGCTCCTCCATCTTCTTATCAGAACTAGAGGTTTATGTAGCCGATACCGTTGGTTGCTCGGTAGGCCTCCTAGCAGGGTTGTCCACGCCCTATTCGTGCTGCGGATGTCCCTCCTTCTTCGCACGCGCCTTCCCTTCGCTAGCCACTGCAGCGGTTTGGGATTTACTACCAACCGTTCTTTTACTC